ATTAGGAGATTATGAAGAATATTGGTAGTAAGAAGCTGTTTAAAAGGGCCAGAATACCATGCACGAAGAGTGATAATAACTCAGAACTTTGTTCAAGTGAAGCATTTGTACGATCGTCAGGAGCTGAAATGATAGTTAGAGATACGACTAATACGAGACGAAGCAGTCTGAGAGGCTGGTGCGTTAAATTTGAAGGCCTATGGCCGGTGAACACGAGAGGAAAAAAAGGTCGAATATTGCAGCTCATTGAGCCTGATGAGCGTTGACCTCATGATTTGAGGTCATGAGCGTTGACCTCATGATTCTCATCATTGACCTCATGATTTTAAGCGTTGACCAGTACAGAGACAAATGTCATGAGTGGCCTTAGGAGGCCTTGGGTGACATGGAATTTAGGCGGAATGATCTCCCCTGCAGCAATAAGTGGAAACGCCCCGCACAGGTTTTCTGTATGTATGCCAGTTATAGCACAAAAAAGTTCTGAATTGGTCTCACCTTTTCGTTGATGTCGTCAAATAATTTCCTCAGGGTTTGCCTCATCACCTTGAATACTGCGCTTAAGCCCTTTAGCCTGCACATCAAATAGAAATAATGACGGGAAAGGATAAATAAACATTACATAATTAGGTAGCAATGTTAAGAGGATTAAGCTTGAAAAACAAGTGCGAGTTTTGTAATTTGGTGACGAAATAAGTCGAAAGAAAAGCAAAGGCGATACGTTCATGACTGCTTTGGTAAATACGTATCCGCGCTATAGCATACCTTGGCTTATACTTAGTCACCTGATGGCCATGCTGGCAGATGCATAGTCACCTGATGGCCATGCTGGCAGATGCATAGTCACCTGATGGCCATGCTGGCAGATGCATAGTCATCTGATGGCCATGCTGGCAGATGCATAGTCATCTGATGGCCATGCTGGCAGATGCATAGTCATCTGATGGCCATGCTAGCAGATGCATAGTCACCTGATGACCATGCTGGCAGATGCATAGTCATCTGAAGGCCACGATGGCTGATGCATAGTCACCTGATGGCCACAATGGCTGATGCATAGTCACCTGATGGCCACAATGGCTGATGCATAGTCACCTGATGGTCACGATGGCTGATGCATAGTCATCTGATGGCCATGCTGGCTGATGCATAGTCACCTGATGGCCACGATGGCTGATGCATAGTCATCTGATGGTCACGATGGCTGATGCATAGTCACCTGATGGCCACGATGACTGATGCATAGTCACCTGATGGCCACGATGGCTGATGCATAGTCATCTGATGGTCACGATGGCTGATGCATAGTCACCTGATGGCCACGATGGCTGATGCATAGTCACCTGATGGCCAC